GGGGGGGTCGTCTCGCCCGTACCTGTGTCGCTGCCCGCCACGGCCCCGGCCAGCAGCTCGCCCAGGATGCACTCAGAGCGGCCGGCAGCGTACATGTGCGCCGTGTCGAGCTGGCGGTGGCCGCGCTGCAGGAAGGCGCGCAGCATGGCCCCGCTCGCCGCCTGGTCCGCGGCGCGCCCGAACTCCATGGTGCCCAGCACCGCGGCCGGCCGCCGCCGCTCCGCCATGGCTGCCAGCCGCCTCACGGCCCGCAGCATCCCCTACGCATGCGCCCCCGCCCCAGCTGCGCGTAGTCCCACTACGCATGCGCCGTTCACGCACCACCTGCACGTATTCTTACTGCGCATACGCCGCCGTCCAGCCGCACGTATTCCTATTACGCATGCGCCGCCACCGCACGGCCCGGGAACCCCCCCCCAATCCCCAAAGCGCATGCGCTGCTACTGCAGGGAAGGAGGGGAAAAGGCTCACCCCGGTGCGCGGTGTTTAGGGACCGTCGGTAAATTCCTAGAACGGGTGTTGTGTGTTGGTTACTGCAGAGGGACAAGGGGGCTGTGGATCTGCCTGCCAGGCGTCACGTTGTAAAGGTGCTTTCTGTGTCTTCCTTAGGCTTGCAAAGGAAACCTCCCCCAGGGACAGCAGGGAGTGATACCTAGTGAAGCCTGCACCCAGGATCAAGCGGCCTCCTGCCCTAGGCCTGGGCCCTGGACCCTGGACCCTGCCCATTGCTGCCCACCCTGCAGCATTGCCCTGGAGCCCCCAGGAATTAGTTCTCCATCTCCAGGAGACTGCTGAGAATAACCTGGGATTTAGGGTGTTCAGATAAATGTGTGGGGCTTAGAGCATTAATAAAATCATTACAATAAATATGAAATGTCAAATCCCATTGATACAGCAGTCCGGTGGGTTCAAATGTGCATTATTTGCCTTCTTGCCGCAGTCTACACACCATAACGAATGCTACGTGAGATGAAACCCCCCAGAATAGATCCAAGCATGCCGGCTCCTGTCCGTGCTGCTGCTCCACGTCTCCCGGGGGCGTGGGGCAGGCAGGCCCCAAAACCCGGCCCCTTGTCTGGCCCCCAGACCTCGGCCTGGTGCGAGGTGAGGAGCCGGTGCTGCTCCGAGGCAAGGCTGTCTGGGCACAGCCCCGTTCCTCCGTCCGTCCGTGAGGAGCCCAGCGAAAGCCGCTGCCCAGCCCGCAGCAGCCAGCCCCCTCCTCCCGAACCACCCCCAGCCCAGAGGGCCAGGGCTTTCCTCTGCCTCCTGCTTCGGTAGCATTGTGTTCTCCTCCCACACATGGGCGCCCCTTTCTCCCAAGTGGTAGCGGCAGTTCCCACCAGGCCGTGACCCCTGCCTAGGGTCAAGCACGGCTTTGCAGTTGCTCTGGCCTGGGTGGATTAAGCTGTCGGCTTCCAGGGCGTTTTGTCAGACCACAAATGGCTCCTTTTCCCTCTTGGTTTTCGGAGGCCAGAACTTCCCACGCCTCCACCATGCGAAAGCCCGGAGCTGGGGTGATGCTGCAGCCCCCAAACTGGGCAGCAGCCACGTGATAGCGAACCCCACGCTGCGGCCCAGCAGCCTGACGTTGACTCTATTCCCGGTCCTTTACTCCCGGTTCCTTTTTCAAAGTAAATCTGTACACCACCAAAGGTCGTTAGTAATGCATCGCACAAGCTCCAGAGTTCAAATTTCCCAAACGTGTACTTCCTCGCACAGCTGGGGCGGGTGGGACTGGGTTCCTCGCCCCGCAATGTCTCCACCTTGGCGGAGAGCTCGCTGGCCGTGCTGGTCCAGGAGACGCGCTGTGCAGACTGATGAAACCATCTACGGAGAGACCACTGCTGAGCCAAGTCGGCTTCATCAACATTTTTCTGGTGTTCCAAGCCAAATCGATCCCAAATCCCGGACCATGTATGGCCCCACTACCAGCAAACATCCTCTGCCCCCACCTGGGGCTTCAGCTGTTTCCAAATACTTTGGCGGGCATCCTACGTGCAAGCGCAAGCCTGGAGGCTCGGGGTTCGGATGCCCCCGGGGTTCGCTTGCCCTCGGCCGTGCGGCTGCGGGAACAAGCTGGGGAGGAGTCTCCCATTTCCATGAAGCCAAGGTTTTCCGGCTGGAGAGGAAAGCGGGAGGTTAACTACACAGCGCATTACATTTGGGTGCCAGAAAAGTGCTTATTCCCTGTCCTTGGGGAAACCGCCCTGGTGACAGATGCTGTCCAGCCAGCCAGGAAGGGGGGGCTCCCCTCCTGGTGCTGGCGGGGAAGGTGGGAAGGGGGCTCCGCGCCGGGTGCCCGGGGAGGGCAGGGCGGGCGGGCG